CAGGAGCCAATGCTAATGCAGCTAAATGACCCCTGGAGGTACCTGGGATCCGGGACAGCTGCTGGCAGAGGTCCACTCCCAGCGCAGCGGCACGCTGAAGCAGGTAGCCCCATGAACGCATCTGAACCTCATAGCCCACCAGGATGTCTGGGTCGAACCTGGAAGAACCACATGATTGGTACCGATGGCAGTTCTACTAAAACTGCAGCACAGACTGACCCGGTCAGACGCTCACCTTCTCATGATGGTGATGAGCTCCTGAAACAGCATCTTCTCCTCGCTGGCATAGGTCACCTGCAGCCCAGAGACGCCTGACCTGACCAGCAGCGGCGCTGTCGCTCTGCAGCCTATGAAGGGGGGAGTAAATAGATTCATCAGTGCAGAATGACATCACCGGTTTGTTGCATCTGAGTCCGCTGGAAGCACAGCGCCCTGACCTCGCCCCGCGCTCTGATGCTCTCTGTCCACCATGATGGCGCCCGTCAGCTGGGTGCCGTCTTCTCCCTGCAGGGGGGCATCAGAACTGAAGCAGTAGAATAAGGCACATATGGGGTCAAACTCTGGGTCGGGCTCCAGGTCACGGCGGCTTCTTGCGTGGAGCTCCATTCCCATCAGGGTCAGGTACTGGACCTGAGAGGTAGAGAGGGAGAATCTGTGAACATGTTCAGTCACAGAAACATGGTGGAGGCTCTGGGGGAGCTCTGAAACCGACCACTAACTGGGCCGCCTCAGCAGCATCAGACCATGAAGCTGCTACTAAACCGCTTCAAATTACACCTGGGACCATTGGTCTGATAAAGTGGCAGCTTCAAATAAACGCCTACAGAAATGAACGTTCTCATTTCATTTGAATTTGTAGACATTCATGAAAAACACTCTGAGAGGGAAAGAAAGACATTTTTTTTGGTGCAAAATAATCTTAGAGGCATTAATGCTGATACTGGCACTGACATTTGTTAGTTTATAAACCTAAATATAATTACTAACTAGGCTTATTACCTTTTTAACGTTACTTTTTAACTTTTCAATTGGCTTTTTACCTTTTCTCTTAACTTATTAACATTTGTTTCCAACTTAATTTCCAGTAGGTAATATATCTTTCTAGGGATCATCTAAGTGGTCAAATGCCAAAATAAGATGTGCAGCCATTTAGCAGCAACTTTCCTGAATGGCTGGATATAGATCTAGTGCTTCTAGACCTCACTGAGGGATGTGGGGGCTCCATTTGTAAGTGATCAAAAACAGAAACTTGCCCTATAAAGGGGTTAAAGGTGGGATT